ATAAAAACAACCTATCTTAGATGGTAAACCTATGATGTTATACAGGTTAATGAAGTAAACCAAATTATATGGCTTTTTAATTTCTCATTCTCTCTTTTTCTCTCACTCACACGCTTGCTTTAGGTTTAATTGCACCATGTTGTCAATAGTCAAACAAAGAGGGAGAAACACTTTAAAAAAGATGTGGCAGCACTATGAAAACATTGGTAATGCATTAGAAAATTTTTCTCAAAAATGTACATTTTATACAAAATAAGACTGTATTTTTGTTTGCTTTTTTGCTTTACATTTGCCCACCTAAGAACTCCCATTTCAGGTTTCCATTCTCATAATCCAAACACTATACATATTTTCTCTCAAAATAAATATACAGAATTATGTACAAGGTCAAAAGGCCCTATTGGATCATCACTAATTCACTGTGAAATACTCACTAAAAACATCATGAAAGAGTGGGAGGGAGCATCCTAAAGCATCTGATGAGTCTTGTAACTCCCCCTAATTTAACTCCAACTTAAAAAAACGTGTGTGAAGACAGTTAAAACAGCGGTATAAAGGCCAGCTTGACTTAGTTTTAAACAAGGGTGAGATGTACCAGATTTTGGAAGATACGGTTTTATTTCCAGGAGACAACAGCTAAGACCCAGCACGGGATAGGTCCCTTCTCAGAAGACCCTGGGCCCACCCCTGTGAAATCTCGCTAAAGCCCAGGGGAGCTGCTCTGCCAGGCTGATGCCATTGAATGCCACATTTCTGCGACAGACAGCACAGCCAGCCTGGAAAAAAAAAGAAAAAAAAAAAAAAAGGAGCAGACCACCCATGCACCCCTCACTGTAAGAGGGTGTTTAACTTGAGGAATTAATAAAAACTGCTGTCAATCAACAGAGATGTTACGACAAACACTGAGTAGCCTTTTAGTTTCAGTATGGAGGGAGTGAGAAAGAGGAGGGCACAGCATTTTACGCTGGGAACGTAAAGATTTTTAAAAAATCCTAGTTGACGTCTAGCTGTTTCTTTCACTGCTTCACCGTCAAATGATGACTTCCATTCTCCAAGTGACATCTTTTGGTAAATAAGCTATTTCCAAAGGCGCTCACTGGTGAAAGATTAATTTCTTTGTCAAAGTTGGCTCTAAAAGAGAAATTGCAATCTGAAATTGATCAAATCCATGATGTTTTCCGATGGAAAAGATCAAAGCACTCGATAGCCATGCATTAGCACACCAGTGTGTTCACTATGGAATTGTTACAAAGCTTAAACATTTACATCTAGAAAAAGTTATGGTAATAATTAGTTTTTCACAAAATAGAAAGAGGGCAAATAAAAACTTACACATGCCCAAGGGACTGCAAGGAGAGCCAGGCACTTTCTATCTTGGAAGTTTGCCCCTATTTTTGTGTCGTGTTTTTCTCATTATGAAACCCTCCTCCAGCAATAGATCTCATTCAAATTATAACTGGGAAAGGTTTCTTTATTTCGTCCTCTTTTTTTCCTTTAATAAATTCAGTTAAAAATTCATCAGTTCTCCCTAACTCTAATCCCTACTTTTATTCTGTTTTAATGGCATGGATCTATTCACATTCATCCATCCATCTCACCCCTGATTAAATTAAGGTCAGTAACCTTTACGAAAGGCCACATGCGTAACACTCAGTCAAGTCATCAGGCATTCAAGTACCTGTAAAGTAAAGGCTAACATAGCCTGCTGTTAATGAAAAATAATAATAATAATAATTAAAAAAAACCAACTACAAAAGGAGCAACAAGGAGTGAACCTTGTTTCAGCACCATCTGAATTAAGGGGAAAAAAGAAAAGAACAAAGAACCATTAACTTGCACATAGGACATGACTAAAGGGTGATTTAATTCACTAAGGAAACAACGCAGCTCGAGACAGGAGGCTCGGAAGCATGCTACTGTCTTTAGGAGCACCGGCTGATAGCATCAACACATCAACTCTCTGAGCTGGATCCGTGTCCAGCTCTTCACAGGGGTCCCCAAGCCAGGGACATGGAGACTGATGGCTGTTCTCGAGACTGGCCATGAGGCAGATTCTTTCCTAGAGAGACGGCTACGCCCGGGTAACGTGCTGCAAAGAGAAACGCTCCTACCTATCTGCATCCCTTCTGGAGCTAAGCCTTTCATTGTCACTTGTTTAATTAGCGATCTGTAAACAGAAAGGGCCTTGAATCGCATTGAGAACAAGCTTTAAGCACAGTCTCTTTCAGCCACCCCAAAAAGTGACGGTAACAGAATGTTAAACAGCTTGAAAGCTTGGCCTGACCTGCTGCTCTCCAAAAATGGTTAGCTACTCCTTTCTACTAAAAACTCAACCCACGTGCCCCAAGGTGGCATTAACTAAAACTCAAGCAGAATTGTAATTCTTGGTTTTGTAGGGTCTCTTGTTTCCCTGGCCTTGTCCCTCTCCCTGGCTGCTCTTGCTGGCTACAGACCATTAACTGCTTCCCAGAGCTGCAGATGCTCCTGCGGACACATCCACAAACTCCGATATGAGTAAAGCATAAGCCCTGCCAACCTCATCCAGTGTTGGACACATTTTCCAAAAAGAAAGTCTAAGGAGAAGGGTTATTGCAGGCGCTCACAGAGCTGCCAAATCTCCAAGAGTGAAAAGCAGCATGGAAGCCACTGAACCATTCGTTCCGGAAAATCAAACTAATCTTCACCTTCCCCTGCACATAGCAAGCTCAGACTGGAGAGCACAGGCAAGGGAGGTTTAGATTTTTATGGGATGTGGGGCCTAAATTAGCAGCTCACCCTACAAGGACAGGAGCCCTGTCCTGTCCCCTTCCCTCCCTGGCCCTGCCTACCTACTCTTGCCTCTTTACACATCTCTCCATGTGCTGATTTAACTCTCTAAAACAGCATTCAAAAATCCAGTAAAACACCAGATAGTTTTTTGCCATTTTAGAGAGTTGAACATGTTCACAGAAGCATTTGGTGGGCACCACGTGGCCAGGGGCTGGGAGAGCAATGGGAGTGGAGGGAAAAGTGACACCTCTTCCTTTCAGCAGTATAAATCACTAGCTGGAGCCTCACACAGGTTTTGGCAGATTCCTTTAAAGATTTCATTCAGATTTACAAGGGCACATAGCAATAGGACGAGGGGTAACTGTTTTGAACTTAAAGAGAGTAGATTTAGCCTGGATATTAGAAAGAAATTCTTTACTGAGGGTGGTGAGACACTGGAACAGGTTGCCCAGAGAGCGTGTGGATGCCCCAGCCCTGGAATTGTTCAAGGCCAGGCTGGATGGGGCTTTGAGCAACGTGGTCTAGTGGGAGGTGTCCCTGCCCATGGCAGGGGGGCTGGAACCAGATGATCTTTAAGGTCCTTTCCAACTCAAACCATTCTGTGATTCTACGACTCTTAACATACAATGCCAGGAACCTGATGTTCCTGCCCTAACACACTGTGCTCGGTTCAAATATTGCAATGCATACGCCACACAAAAATTCTTTGCAAGCTTTCACATGTCAGGTTGCATACAAACATTTAGCATTATGCATTTTGCATTTTTAAAGCAAGTTTCCATTTAGGGATTCTGACCTTACCAGCAAAAGAATTTAGCTTTCACAGCATTCCCTCTACAACCAACTAACTATTACTTTTACAAATGAGGAAACTGAGGCATGCCTCGGTTATGGGAGTTGCTTAAAGCTGCATAATAAACTGGTGCCTGAGCCTGAATGAAACGTGGTAATTCTGGTCCACATTTCCTAGCACTCCAGCTATTCTTAACCCCTGCTACCGGACTGCCTGTTTACAAAAGAATGAGGTATTGAAAGGCTTGCTGGTCATCTGGGCATTGGCACTAAACCCTCTCGCTGTGCCTTTAAGAGAGCTCTTGGGGGTGGCAATTGTTACAGAGCACCCCAAACGTACCTCATAAAAACATGAGAGTTCAAAATGTTTTTAAAGTGCTTATTTTCTTAGCAAATTGGAATAGCATCTTCCTGATCCAAATCACTGTTTTTGTTTTCATTTGTCAGTGTAAAGAAATACATAAATAAGCAAAGCCCTATAGAGAAATAAACAACTGGAATATTTAAATTTTAAAATAGTTCCATCTGAAATGCTAAAACTGTTTTGGAGCATGAGCAACGCTGGTATTTCAGGGACAGATTTTTTTGTCCGAGTTACCCTACCCCAAATACACCTGGGAGCACCTGCTACAATGTCTGACCATACACTTTGAGTGTCAGATCTCCAGGAGAGAATTTCTCCACTCATTTGCATTTTCAAAAAACTTAGGGGGGAAAAAAAAAAGAAAAAGAAAGAAAAAAGAGAAGCCCATGCTTTGATTTCAAATAAATCAATCTGTTACAGGCCAAATTCCTGTGTTGCAAATATTAATATGCTTTCTCTTTTTTTTTGCCAACATCCCTTTTACCCCTCAAAACAAAGCTATTCCTAGGAATTTAGGTGCTGGGGCCAAGCGGTACCCCTGTCCCCGGAGAGCAGGGACTGATGCACGCTGCGCCGTGCCCCTCCGGTGCTCACCCGTGGGCAGGACCGTGAGGGATTCTCCTACCAGAACACACAGTGGGCACCACACCTCTGCTGTGCCAAAGCCCTCCCTGTGCTCCACATCACCGGTTTTTTCCTTGGCAGTAATGTTCCTCTCTCCTTTCGAGGCAAGGCTGACTGCCTTCGAAAACCAGGTCACAAACCAGAAGGATCTACGCTCTGGTCTGAGGTTCTCCAGTTTTCTATCCATCCAAAGGAGTTTTGCCATAGTGGCTGCTAGTGGCTCGGGGAAAATAGGAAAAAAAGAATAATGAACAAGTCAGCAGTAAATGAGGAATGCTAATACTTCGGTTCTGTCCTGCTTGTGCTCAGTTTTTCTCTGAACCTGCTGCATTTTCTTCCCATAAGATTCAAGCATTTAAACTTCGCAGGGGAAAATGAATGAAAACTGCATCGACAATCAAATGCATGAAAGAAAGAAACGGCAGCTTTGAAATATTCACAACCAACACAATTTTGATTAAAGAAAGAACTCTGTTTTTAATAGGATTTTTTTTTGATCATTAAAAAAGTTTAAACCTGCATAGCAATCATTTCAAAAATAATTATTTAATGTTCCATAATGAAACTGTACACGACCTAGTCTTGAGCAACAGAAGCCTGACGGGCGGTTCGACGCAGTCCGGAGCGGCACAAGCCCCAGTGCCGGGGTCAGCGCTCGCTGTTGGCGGCCTCAGTCTGGCTCTGGGCATGGGGACACGGCTCGGTCCCCTCGGCAGCGCTCCTCAGAGTCGTTCAATGTCCCGGTACTTCTTCCTCAGGATGGAGACCTGGTCTTTAAAGAGGACAGGGTCGAGCCTCATCTGAGAGTGGATCAGCGGCATATAGCCAAACCAGCTGGCAAAAGTGTTCATGCAGCTCTGCCGCTGGGCGAAGTGGTCGGGGTCGGCCCAGCGCGAGGCCCGGGACGTCTGTGTGGAAGAGGAGAGCAGAAATCAGGCATCGGACGCCGCACGGCAGCATGGCGAGCATGTTTTAGGTTAAAGTCTGAGCAAAGGAAAAGACGATGGCCTTTGCATGCATACATGCAAAATACTGTGGCCTGATCTTCCAAAGTTCAGAGCAGCTGTAACTCCTATGAAAGCCCACGGAAACTCAGCATCTCTGTAAAATAAGGCCCTAACAGCTTTGGAGCAGTTATTATTCTCTATCTGTATCTAAGCTACATGTATAAACATAATAAAACTATTCTTTAAGATAAAGTCAGAGTGTGGAGAACCGAATCTGTTTTTTGTTCCGCTTCTCAGGCATTTCTCTATAGCACTTAACATTTCCACTATACTTTAAAAACAAATACAAATTCATAAATCCAGAGTATGTTAATTAAAACATGAAGAAACTGACAAAGTCAGGGACTTGCCAAAAGAATGTGGTATCAGACTTGACCTTTGTCCAAGGCCTGTCCAGTTTAGCTCAAGTGATAGGTTATAATGTGCACTGATTACAGCCTCTTGATTATACCGAGCCACCAAAGAGCAAGCACACGCTTGTTGTTAGAGGATTATAGCAGGCATTCTGGCCATTAACAGTGAATTTCCATACAACTATTAATCTCTGTCACAACACTGAGGTTATGTTAATTTTTTATTTGTCTTTCAAGGAATTATGAACATGGTCCATTACATTTCCCAAAGCTGCAGGAACAACTTGTCTTTAGGAGAGAGTTATAGTTCATGGCTGACTCAAGTCACCCGTGCTATAAGAAGAAAAATGGATGTGCAGACTTTGCCAAACAGTCAAAGTGTGGCCCTGTGGAGAGGGGAAGCTCAAGCTGGAAGCAATATATACTTTCTGGATGGCATCTTCTTGTTCATAGAAGGTTTCCTGGTTAGCCAGTTAAGTCAGAATTGCTGAATTACTACCTATAGCTCAGATGAAAGCGCAGTGGCATACATGTAAGAGAGTCCATCAACTGGCACAGCCGCTCACCATTCAAAGATCCAAGTAATGCTAATAGAAGAAAATTTGAGGGGAAATAGAGAGCCCTTTCTTTCTCCCGCCCCATAGTAAACCTGGTACTGTTTGTAGTGCAGATTACAGACACCATGGCAGCACAGATGAGAGGTTTTTTAGGACTTGAAGGACTTGCTATTCCTCCCATCGCTCACTCACACACGGCAGGAGGAGTGCCCCCAGGTTACCGTGTATCCCTGTTACTAGAAGGTATATCCATTTCTGCAATACAGTAGCTGGAAGAGGCTCTTAAGTAAGCATTTCATGGCTGCTAGTGAGTGATGGTGTCACTGTGGGACAAAATGTTTGTCATGGGAAAAATCACCTGAATATCATGAATTAGCTCTATTGTGATGGGCCACTGTCAGAGCTTAAATTACACTGATATTTTAAAATAGCACAGGGATGGTCTGGTACATTATATTAATTAATAATAATTAAAAATAGAAAACCTTTCTGGAATTTACTTTTGCTTCTAGCATTCCATGATGAAAACTTAGGTCTAGAATATTAATTAAGAAAACTGGAGTTTAATTGTAATTTGTTCACCAGAATCATCAGTTCCAGGAGTTTGGGTTCACCATAACACAGTATGAGAAAACTATGAAGAGAACCTGTCATCCACATTAGACGTTTGCCATTACTTCTCTTCCTTCACTACAATAAGCATATCTAAAGTCTATTTACAGTTCTGCTAAACTAAAAACCACAAGAAAATAGAGCTGTACCATTCTGTAAGCCTAACCTGGATGTTAAGCCATTATATTAGCAATACATCCTAATTGTGAAAACATGCTGTGGATACTTACCTGTCCCATCATGGTCTCCTTATACTGTTTTTTCTGTGTTACTTTGATTGGAGGCAATTTTGTCACGGCTGACACCAAAAAATTCATTAGAATGTCCTCACAATTGGCCAGTTGGTCCACCATATTCTTTAGGCTGGCAGGCAGGTAATGAGTGTACAGGTAGTGATAATATCTGGAAACCAAAAGCAGAGTTATTAGCACAAGCCACTGGGCTTTCAGGGATTATAAACTCCAGCATAAGTTTTGTACTTGAGTCTGGATATAATACTTCCTTTCTTTGGCCTCATCCTCCAACAAGAAGGGAGAACAAATCAGTATCTCGCCAAGACAGCACGCAATGGTAAGGGAGAAAGAAAATGTAAGCCTTTTTTGTAACTGGGTTAAAAGAAATAATGCAGACTTAAGTACCAAGCCAATGGAGAAGTAGGAAAGAGAGCACCACATTGTTATAATGTGGTACAACAACACAGATGAATCCATCCTCCACCTCCTCTTTCGAAACTGTACAGCTGGAGAGAACTCTATTATACTGACCTACTACTGCTCTTAGTGTTGAAATTATTCTCCTATGGGCCTATATCATTCCGTGTGGCCTGTCTTCTTTGCAGCGATGTGGATTATATATTCCAGAATTTCCTGACTTTCTCCTAAAATCTAGAGAAGTCTTTGGTCTGCTCAAGTCCTAACAACCGGGGTTTTCTCCAACATGGACGTGTCCAACTATGACACGTCCACTGTACTACATTTCCAGAGTAGCCAGAAGACTTTGCAGTCTGAAGCTGTCAGGCAACACATACCCAGAGCTGGTCTGGAAGTAACCTCCTTTCTGCTGTGCTACAGGCCATTCAGCCGAGCAGCTTAATGAATTCGGCAACTCTTTGAAGTGTGTAATTCCTGATGTTAAAAAGAGCAGCCCGACTGCCTCAAAATACAAGTGACTTCAAAGAGACCCAACAAGCGCAATAATGATTACCAGATCCCCAGAGCTAAACCAAGAACTTAAATTATTACCCCATAAAAAGTAGACCCATTTATTATCCTTCCATTTTTTCTCCTCCCCGGAAGAATGTTCACACACACACGCACACACACACACGCTCTTTACTATTTTGTTTCATACAGAAGGAGGAGAGCAGATGCTCTGGGTTCTTACTTGTGGTAAATAGCAGCTCCTGTCAATACCATGGAATAGTCATTAGTCCATTTGGAGGTATAGCCCCACCTCTCCTTAGTGTTGTCCCAGAAGTGACTGCGAGCAGGGTACCCCACAATCCTTTCTGGAAAACTCTGCCAAACTGTAAAGGCAAAATCCACCTGTGGACAAAGGCACAGGCCAAATGAATACCGAAACTGTTTCAACAAATGTCAACAAAACAAAACATTACCTTGCCACTAATTCGCAATTCGAAATCTTGGAACTGTTGCAAAACATTAATTCTATGTATTCATCAGTAAATTAAACTGACTGCTTGACATTTTGCCCTATAATTATGCACATTTTAATGGTTCCTGTTAAAGGGAAGTCTAGAGCATCACAGCATTACATTAACATTTTCAAGCTTGCCCTTTACATATCAAACCTTTTCAAGTTAGAGAAAGAATGGGTGTAGGTGCATGCATTTATACTTAGATGCAGTATTGACTGGTAATAGCTGTGTGGTAAACTGAATCCTTTGCACGTCTTTGTGCATGTCACCCACCATTTCAGCACTGTCAACACAAAGACTGGAAAATCAAGAGTCAAACACCTTACATTACAAGCATGGCTCAATGAGATTAAAACAGGCAATCAGTGTGGGGTCCTTTTATGTTTTCAATACATTCTGAGCCTCTGAGGATCATGCAGGTCATAATTTTAAGATATATGATAATACATCTTAAGGTATATATGATTTTAAGGTATATGACCAAGAGGGTTAAACATATGGTTTAATAAAGAAGAAGATAAGATTCCCATGTAGTTAAATGGCTTTAGGAGTGAGAAAGATGCTTGATACTGTATAAGCCACAAGAAGATGTAAAATGCTGCCAACAGTGTTTTTTTATTTTATTGTCTTGCTGTAACTGTTTTAGTAACTCGAATCTCTGGGAATTGAAAAGGTGACAGGATATTGCTATGCCAGGATCCTAACAAACAAATCCTGGTGACACTAGAAAAGGATGATTGGGGTAGTTTGCAGAAGGCTTGTCAGAACTATATTTGAAAGGAGTTTGGTAAAAATATATATGGAAAGATTTTTATCATCGTAAAATTGGTTGCCAGTCCCTCCACTTCAACTAAATTCTGGAGCTTAAGGCAGACTAAAATTTTCAAAAGAGTTAAAGACAATTCTAATCGTCCTGGTCAAATCCAAGAAAACAAGGTCTTTGTTTTGGCACTGCACATCAAGTTCCCTTCAGTAATAGATAGACCTAAAACTTTGCTCAAGAATGCTTGAAAAACCTTCCAAGAACCCAGCCAAAGTCAATGGTTGTAGAGGTTAGATAAAGAATAGCTGCTCTGAGAACAGCGACATTTTGTGTTCTACTGTCAGATTTTGCACATTTGCAAGTGTTTTTACGAAACACAAGAGTCACATGTACTGGAACACAAAGTTAGGGACTAGTTATTTTCTTTCAAGTCGTTTCAAGGAATCTGAGGCCAACTAGAAAGACAATGTGCACAAACCAGTTACCGTTGTGATAGTTCTGATCTCATCCAAATCAATACCACATGAAAGAATGGAAGGGCTTTTTTTCCCCTGTAAAGGCCTTTCCCATAAAACGTGATATCTGTTCTCTTTAGAGAAGTCTGAGAATCTCAAACTTAAATAAATAATAAAGCAGCTGCACTCAGTGCCCTCACTTGTGCTTTCAAGTATATGTTCTTGTACCAGGGAGACGCACGAAAGCAATGACCCTAAGAAAAACCTCCCTTTATCAAGAAAACCCTTCATCCAATACAATTTCCACCAGCATTACCACTCAACTGATCAGCAAAAAAAAACGCCCAGGCTACCAGTCCCTTGAACTCCCATATCGCTTCTGACCCGCGCCGATTTCTAATTACTTCCCACACAAACATCCCTCTGCGCACGTGAAACAGCTCCTCTCACAACGGCAATTATGTTCTGTTGTGAAGGGAGAACCTTTACTATGCTAGAGCTAGACAGAGCAGAGCATGAGCCTGGTGACTGCTCCTCTCAACAGGAATGGGACGTGTTTGACCATGTTTCTAAATCGCCCTTTTCAGGGCCCTGAAGCTTTGTCACAACGACCACCCATGAGCGGCTAGTTTCACGGGAAGCTCCACATCACACGTTTCATGTCGGTGTTTCAATGGGGTTTTTTTGTTTGTTCGTTTGTTTGGTTGGTTTTTTGCATAAGCCATACGATGGGGAAGTGAAGCAACAGAAAGGCCCCAGCTCTTCAGAGAGTGCCACCAAAAAGAGCTGCTGACCCTGCAGAGACACGTTGAAGCCGCAAGGCGGGTGCTAGCAAGAGCCAGCCAGCTGGTTCCCTCTGCAGCACAGCGGCCACAGGGCTGGGAGAGTCAACACCCCCGGTGCAAACACGCAGCATGGGCTGCAAGCTGCTGACAGGAGGGAAGAAGCCACAACGAACAGTGTATGTTGTCTCACACAACAACAAATATTTGCGTTTCAGTATGTTTACGGTAAAACACAGCCCAGCCGAATGAGAAACACTATTTATTTCACATGCCTTCCAGAATCCTGAATGACTCCAAAGTTTGGATGATGACTAAATGCAAATCAAAAAAAACCCCAAAGCCTAAAATCCTCGTGGACTTCACAGGCTGTATTCCTGTAAACAGCACCTCAGCACAACGAAGTTCCATGAGAGGTCTTACCATGGTCCCCAAGGCAGCTGTGACAGGATCCTTTGTCCTGAGCAATAACCTCTTAGGAACTCCAGCCCTAAAATAAACTGCTTTTTATTGATTTTGGCATTTTTTGGCTGTGCAGGGCTTTGCACCCAAGTGCTTTGGCAGCAGCCATACTCTTCCTCATTTAGGAGAAACTACCAATATGTAATCTTGGTATCAGGTAATTTCAATCCCAACTAATTCCTCCATCTGTGCAGCAGAAGAGGGCTACTGTGGCTCCTTCTGGAGCAGTCTAACCACAGCACTACAGATCCATACTGGGGAGAAGGGCAATTGCAATCTCACCCATTTAGAACAAATTCAGTGACATCTTAGGGTATGCAGCAGTGACTGGTGACTAATGTTAGGCATTTCTTCACTGACATACAAGCAGTGGTAGTGTCAGTGAAAGATCTCCATCCCTGATAAAAAAGCATTTTTATAAAGGTGAAGTGGAGAGAATGGAATGGCCATGAACATGGGGGGGAAAAAAGGGAAAACAAAGGAAAATCGAGTTTTTCAAGCTATTCCCTAGCCATCATTAATAATGTATTTCCCAAATATTGCACTCTATATAAACTGTCATCAGTTTCCCCTGTGGTTCTCAGGAAGAGGTTCCAGAAATCAATACTCATCCCAGTTGTAAAAATTGGTTTTCTACAGTATTTTTCTTTTCTTAGAGCTGTCTCGCTCTTGGCACAAACACTCCGACACCTAAACTTGCAAAGATCTCGGATTTTATGGGGCGCCACAATGGTGAGAGAGCATTCCTCAGTGAAATCCTGCATTAGGGTGGCAAATCTGTCTTCTGGAGCGACAGCAGGCCCCTGCTGCTGACACCCCTTCCTTCCCCACCTACACCCTACTGATAATGTGGGGGGGAAAATAGCTACCCCAATCAGAAGAGTGAGAACAGAGTATTAAAGCTGACTGCTCTTGCTGCCTACACCCGCTTGCAGCTATGTTACTAAAATAATAAAGAAGGGAAGAACCATATGCTAATGATGAGCCAATTAACCAGGGCGAAAAGCTCCTCTGATGGCAGGCAGTGGCAGGGTTGCTGAAACAAGTGCAACGCGTTACATGTGAGGAACGTAGCAGGAAATCTTATAACATCTGCTCACTGGCAAAGCCAAGAGGAGAGCCTATCTGCTGTGCAAAGGCTGAGTGGAGGAGCCAAGCAGACTCCCAAGACAAGAGAGACCCTTACCTCAGTGGTTGAAAGCACGGTGTCCTCATCCAGGCTTAGCACTGCGTCTGTCACTATGTTGTCATAGGGTAGGAAGCGACTGCTCATAACCTGTAGGTATCCAAGGCAGGAAGGGGAGGGAAAAAAAATCATTTGAAGGACTCATTTCCAAGGGAAATTACTCCATTTTATTCTTCACTCTTATTTCCTCTTGTCTGGGGCACATGGCATCTCTCTGTCTGATGGAAAGAACCCTTCAGCTCAAGGGTGAAAGATTGTCATTTCCGTCACCCCAGCAGTCAGCCTACACCTCCTACCTGAGGAGTAATTTCTAAACAGACTTCCCTCTTTGGAGCAAGCTGCTTGCCTTTTGTGACAGACTGCAAGGGTCCACACTGAGAATTAGATGTACCTACAGCTTCTTTAGGGAAGACATTTTCCTAGCTAGAACTGTCCCTCTGCTCCCCTATGGGGTGTGAGGATCAAAGATAATGAATGCTGAGAAGAACTTTGCAGCATTCATAAGGTTAGGCAGCTGGCACACCAAGCAGTCCAGGTTGTGTGTGAAGGACGTTATGCTGCCAGGATGGCTCCCCTGTAAAGTGGTACAGCTCCATCTCGGTGCATTGCTGTTGTATCCACAGGGAGCTGCTGTCAAATGCTGCAACACTCTCCATCAGAAGAGGAGAATATACCAAAGAACATGTGTATCTGTCAAACTTCCCCTGAATGAAGAATTATATTGGTATTGTAGCATTTTAAAAAGTCACATTTTAAGTGACATTACTGTAGATATAAAATCTATAGGCAGAATGAGCTCAAAGTAATAGGAAATAGATGGGAAATCAGGATCAAAAAGAAAACTGCAAGAAATGAGAATCCATATGGTTTCTTTAGCAGACTAATTAGCACCTTCTGAGAACTGATGAATAGTAACAAGGACACAACACTATTTGTTTCCCTCATTTACTACGAAAAATAGCCTAGCTAGTTAATAGACTTCCTTTCCAATTTATTATGCCAAGAAAATGCTACAAAGATCAGGCCCATTAAGAGCAAATCACTGTATGGAAATAGGGACATGAGGGAGTTTTACATGTCCCTCATAATAGACATGGTTAGTTTTGCAGCCCCTGCAACTTCTTTGGGATCTATGCCTCGATTCAGAGAAAGCTCTGCCTCTGTGATCAGGATGCTCACAGTGCCTGTCTGGAGAGCATCTCTTCATCGCTGCGATGGCCTCGGTCCTGGGAGGCAGAGGATGTGAGGAAGAGGTGATCTGGCAGAGGTTGATGCTTTTGCTTGGCTTATGCTAAGGTGACACAGAGCAAGCGGTCAGCAGGAGACTTGCGTTCTCACTCCAGCTCTCCTAAAGACCGCACAAAATTGTCAAATAGTGCAACAGTTGGGACTGCCCATGTATTTATTTGTTTTTGTAAAGTGCCCTTTTGTTAAATGGGTGTGACAATATATCTTGATTTCTTGGGCAACACTGAAAGTTAGGCAAAGGCAGACCACTGTGATGCACGGAGTAACTGTGCCTGCCAGTACACTCCCATTAAGTCTGAAGAAAAGCAGTTCCTTTGTGCAACCTTTGAATTGCACTGCTCTGGCTCTGCAAGCTTTGTCCAAACAGCTTTTCTGTGCAAGAAGCCATTTGGCATACGTTGGGATATTAGAGAGAAGAGACTGTCCACTATAAACACACCTTTGTGTACTCAGGAGACTCATTTGTAATCTAAACAGTGCCTGGGGCCAATTTCTACAAACACTGTAGAACTGGTCAGAGATTTTCTCCTCTATCTCACCTCTGCAAGTTTTTCAAAAAGAAAGGATAAAACCCCACAACATTCAAAAGGCTCAGAAATCACTACAGCCTTTTTTGGCCCTGCAGCAACTCTTCTGATACTGTTTACATGGGCAGCTAAGGCCAGAGCCATTAGCTGCCAACTTTGCAGGACTCTCTCCTTCCCCTTGTTAAGGTGACTGGGGGAAAAGACCAAAGACAGAACTATAAATTCATAATAGGATTGTGCAGCCAAAGCAACTAAAAGTTCCCTCTGCAAATGCAGAGCTCAAGAGCCAGCTGACAGAGATTGCAGAGGGGACCAGCTTAAATCTGTCTCAGTCAGAGTGCAGAAGCAAGAAGTTTTGCTTATCTCAGGCTTGTATTTGGAAAGGGATCATCTGCACAGTACAGATTTCAACAAAATATTTTCTGATCTGGGTGGTGTCTGTTTCAGCTTTGTGGAAGTGCAAACAAGTGCGCTGCACAGCAAGAGATGACACGGTGTTTTCTTTTCCTGTGCAAGTGTCCCCTGTCCCTTCCGGGTTTTTTTGGTGGTGGGATCCCACCACCGGCAGCAGTACCCTACAAGGCCTTGAGAGAAGGTACTTTTCAAAGGCAAGTTGATACCACTCATTCTCTTATTTTCCTCAGCTTTTGAGCCCTCAGCTGACCTCACAGTTTTGCATCTGAGTGCTCAGACTCAATGAATCCAGATGCCTCTTTGCTTTCACGCACTGCAGAGACAGAAATCTCCAAAGATGGGGTCAGCACTAGCTACTCTCAGGGCCACAGCTCAAAACCAGGTCCCACCTGTGAATCTCAGATTCATGGCATTAATTGCCATGCTGATGACTTCTGAGAGCATGGGCCTCATGCACGAAACACAAATGTGTGACCAAGCTGCTACAAAAGGCCAAGGAATAGAAAGGAGCTGTCACACCGTTGAGAGCTACAAAGCTTTCACCAAAGCAGCTGGAAAAATAACTTCCCGTCTCACTGGCGAATACAGGCAATCTTTTACCACGCTTCTCTCCACCTACCTTGCTCTCTCCTTCAATGACTATGACAGGCACAGAAGTGGCAGGCCAGCGGTGTTTGGCTGGGAGGGGTTTATCACAATTCCATAAAACAATAATCTAAAAGAGAATATTGGACCACGATCAGAGACCTTTGTGGCAATGCAGTCCAAACCCTAAGGACTCGGATCTCCAGACAGAAACATTAAATTCAACACAGGAATTTCAGAATCAACAACAATGATAAAAATCTGTATAAAAATAACACTTCCTACAGTAACTTCACTCATCCTGACTATTTACAATATACATCCTTGCAGGCAAATATAGGCTGGACAGGAACTCAGGAAGTCTTTATCTCAGCCTGGTCATACGGATGTCACTAATTTATTTTGGCTCTCAATAAAGGCTAAATCACTTGTGACACTCCACTGCAAGAGGGTGCCCCACTGAACTCCCCAGGGTTTCTTCTAGAGAAGCCAAAATCCTGGCACTGCTGAGACTAAGAGCCACAGCAGGAGGAAGGAAGATCACGTAGGGGCTCTTGAGGCACAAACATCCTTTTGAGGTTTGCTGTACACACAATCCTGATCTTTAAAGTACAGTCATTATTTTACCTGCCTCATGAAACAAAGGGGTTTAATTACTGCCTCCATTCCACTCCCACTATACTCAGAATTTTGTTTTCCATGCATGCAGGCCACAGACAGTAGAAATCTCAGAGAAAAGAAACATCAGAATTGAAACAGGGGATTGAAACCGGACTGAGAAGATCTGAAGTCAGTAGGCTCTTCGCTCCTGGGATAACAGTTTTGTCTCCATTGTGACTGACAGTCAAATAGCACTGCTCACCTGCGCACAGTACTGGGACTTGGCTACAGCAACCAGGAGTTTCAGCACAGGTTGAGATTGGGAAACCAGGGGAGTTACTGCGTGGATCACGGCAGTGAATGTGGAAAGAGGCTTCAGACCTGAAGTAAAGAGATATGCATTCAGTAAAGACAAAAACGTCCCAGTCAGTACAGATTAAAGGACTCTGGAGACAGAAAAATAATCTGCACTTAATGCAAACCTTGCTGTGTTTTTTAGGTTATCTCCTTTCGTCTCAGACTAGGATACCAGATGCTTCAGAGGAGGTCACGCTTCCCTTTAACTCCCATGCCCTCTGAAATCCCTGACTCCAACACAATTACCGCCTTTTCTTACTCACTATTTCCAAAGGTGTCCTGCAATCTCTTTCTTTCACCCAGTCTGTCCCACAGATAACACTGACATCTAGTTTGTTCAATCAAATGTCTGTTTTGATGTAGGCTCTGTTTTGCTGCCTGGCTCTGGATGCTTGATGTTTTCTACAGATTATCTCCACAACTTCCTGAAGCTTTTTCCATTTCCTCAGTCTTATTACGGCCTCTGTCAGATTTTTGTGCTTTCTGGATTGAGCCCCATCCTCACTCATCTTCAGTTACCTCCTGAGACGATAATTCTGCTTGCATCCTTGCCTTCCATTCTGGAATTTTTCTCTTGCTATGATTTCCTTTCCTGCCTGAAATAACAGATCCTACTCATGTCTACCCTTCATTACTGCTCTCAATCTCATTTAAATTCATCTGTGTGGGGTCATACCCATTTTTCATCAAAATTCACACAGCAACCTTCTCCTCCCTTTTTAACATGGTAAATGTGAATTTTTAGCAGGTGAGCAGTACAGATCCACACAAGTGGGATGGCACAGGCTGAGCCAAAAGTAGCAGCAGTCTGGTAAGCAGGATCACTTCAGCTTGCAGGCACATTCCCCTGTAGAATTCATCATTTAAGCTCTGCTTCAGGAAGAAGCCATGAACCTATGTCCTATACACTCCTTCTGGTGGGATCCATATGAAGACATAATATGGAGAATAAATCCATAGCAACTACGCACTCCAATAATCAGGTCATGGGTAAATTACCACTTTTCCAATTTTCCAAACACAAATGAACAAAGAAAGCAAAGAGCTATTCTTCTTATGTCCCCTCGGGCCATGAATGGGTCAGCAGCGCAGGCACTAATTACCAATAATTGAAAAGTATGAAGCGGCATAGATTTTTTTTAAAAACAATCTTTGCAGGTGAGAGACACATGATGCGTGTTGATGAGTCAGAGACATTCCAGTCTGCAGTGGGCAGGGAAGAATGAGACAGGATAAATGAAAGCCACCATTAACCAGAAATGAATGGTAAGTCACTTGGCACATGCTACTCAAAGATCAAATTCTACATTTCCACTACAAATTCCAAATACCACGAGATTATAGCAAGGATTCACTCACCGAGATTAGCATAGTAGTACGGAAAATCTCCCAGATATGAGGAATACTGCGGCAGTACAAATAACCCTCCAGGATGTTTGTTCCATATTAAGCTGTTACGTGATATGTGCTTAAATATTCTGTCCTGAATAATCTGGAAAACAAGAGCAGCAATGTTTTCTAAATAGACTGCAATAGTCACTGGTAGAAGCTTCAGTGACTCCACCTGACTGGAATCATCACCTAGTTTGCAAAAAAGCTGAGGCACACAAATTACTAGACACTCCTGCTTAATCTCTCTAAAAATGACACAGAACCTGCACACTTTGACACCCCTTCAGCATCTCAGTCTTTGTGCAATAGGTTTCAGAACACCTCATTAGTGTCTCAGGACACGGGGACTTTGCAATTCATTGTATTTTGCATTCCAAGGAAAATATTTTGTCTATTAGAGCATCTTAGCAGTTGTAAGCCTGATTAGTTCACTGTCAGTTTTCCTATACAGAACTCACAGAAGATAATTATTTGAGGATGGCATTACAAAGCTAGGTATTATTTTGAGATAATGAGAGCATTCAAAAGCACAAAGACTTTCAGCAAATCAGGCTGCACTAATTATGCATTTTTGCTTAATTATAAAGGGATATTAACATTCAGATACATCACTGATTCCACATCTCAGTTCTATAATAGTTCCTTGTTGGATGACACAGAAAAAGATCTTTTGGCAACTACTGTCTGTCTTTGCAGAGGGCCACAAACATGGATTCCTCAGTTTTAAGGTCAGAACAGATTGCTAGGTCATCTACTTTATCGTCTACAATATCACAAGCCACAAAAAAAATATACAAGGCTGTACAATTACTATGTGTTTATAAAACTAATTGCAGTTACTTCTCATCAGATGCCTGTATGCAAGAACCACAGCGGTTCTGACACCCTTGGGAGTTCTTTCAAATTTGCTGCAAAGACATAACAAGACTCAGTGGGGGAAGCTGTAACTGGACAAATTCAGCCTCCAAATGAGGTGCAACTTTCTGAGTGCAATATGCTGTTGGGCCAAAGGTTCTTACAAATTTGCCTTTCTTCAGAGTACCAGAGGTTGGCAGGTCTGGAGATGGGACATTCTTAAGTGCCAGAGGGTATGGAAGAAAGAATTTTCCCCAAAGTCGGCTAAGCAGGACCCCCTTGCCTTCTTCCGCAGCTCATCTTCTGCGATCTCCTAAGGAGATTTCATGTAACTGCCAGTTTATGCATTGCACAGGGCTCAAGTGTCAAGAATACGTTGGTTCTCCTAATCTCAGGTCTCTGCCCTTAACACAGGTGTATCTGAGTGAGACTCTATGGCTCTGAAGTTTGACTAAATCTGATCCCTCATCATTCATTCTAGCCTTAAAATCCATGAAACTAAAGAACATATATAACCACAACACAGAAAAACAAAAAGCAAGCAAAAAGACCCAACACCAGCCAAAGAAAGGCAGCTACTGGAGACTAAACAAGCTAAAATCTCTGCAGGCAGCTGAGTTCAGGGATATTTGGTCAATACAGAACATGAGCAAGTGTTACCACAAGCAGTGGTTTTCCTGGATTTTTTGATTGCCACGACAAAACCCCACTAAAACACAAGATATATTGTGTTAGACTGCTGGTGGGGATATCCGTACCGCTGAACTGGGGCAAATGTTAGGTGTTTGCACGCTTGTCTGAATTTTGCCTCCAGCCAATTACCATAGCTAATATGTAGTAATTCACTCACACGAATAAGTGAATTAAAATATTTCTTTTGGTCTTGGAATAACAGACTTAGGACTGTATTTCCACCAGTGACAAAAATGAGTATTTCTGTTTGGAAGATTAGGTGTATCAGTTGTCAGATCTCCTGCATGGCAGTGGGGTGAGGAAAAAAAAAGACGACAACTGCTGTCTCTCCATCTGCAAGTTATGCTAATAAACAAAGACAGGACCTAGAAAGTACATATTTTCGAGTGTTTACCACACAGCCTAAATATTACAGCTCCTTCCTCCTGCTTTCTCAGAACTGGGACATAATCAGATAAGGAGAAGTCTGTGAGTTTACATGGTCAGTAGGTTTTCACAGACGGTGGAGTTTTCCAACCGCGCTGGTAGACAACAAGGCTGCAGGGGAAACACATGGCTCCCGTTCAACGCTGCCTCGGTGCACCCGGAGCGAGCACAGCTCCGACGCAGAGTGGGGCCCTGGTGCCGTGCATGTCAGGCACACAAACCTCACCAGGTTCCACACCAGGCTGGGGAGCTGGCCTCGGCGATTTATCACACTTAGTAAAGGGAAGATGAATTTATCACGGTCCCGGTCTACATAAGAAACATAGCTGTCTGTCGTGATAGAGAGAAGAAAAGACAACTTGGCAGGAAGAGAACAGAGAAGTATAAAAAAAGATAGCACAGACGACCAATCAATTAAAATGCAGAATGTAGAGTGTAGCACATATTGCAGAGAGAGACAGCAGCTACATGGTCTCTCCAATGATAAGGCATGACAGGAAGTTTAATAAGAGAAGGAAAAGTTTAGGCTCTCTGGTGAGATCTACCTTTCTTTTTGGAATTCATTAACAGTCCAATATTTTTGTCTCCCACACCCTTATACTTCAAAAAGTTCACATATTGCCTTAATGATTGCTGCTTCTCAATATGCTCTGGCCAAGCATCAAACACCTCTTGACTGTACTTTGAGCTGTCCCTTTCCCCTCCTCTTCTTGAGCGGAGGACTAAGTCCACTGTGCAGGGATCTAGGGACATTTTTGGTTTGGTTTTTGTGAAAACCAAGCTGAAAAAGGTGCAGGTAGATCGGAGAGCATGTGTCCAGATGATGTTCACAGCAGTCCACAGCTGGGCTGTTGGTGCTCGCACTCAGCAGCCTGCAGGAGACACCCACAAACATTATTTCCTAACCTTCACTGTGTCCAGGGCACTGGCAAGTTCCTCTGTGCCTGCAGTGTGGGGTTGCTGGCCAAAGGATTCAAACCTGTTATTTTGGGCTATGAGCTGTTTGTCTTAGGTCACCAAATGGTATGAGAAGGTCAAGGACCTTAAAACATGACTTCATGTTTTCAAAGGTGGCTAAGATAGAGGGCAGAGGATAGCTGTGATGTCCTTGCAGATATCTGGGTTGGTGAAGACTTTTTCTGTACTGATACCTTCATATGTAGACGTGTACCAGCGCTGCAGTTAGCAGGCAAGTGATTACTCTGATAGTATCTAGCATCATCAGAGCACTCTGACACAACACTGTTACAACAGAAGATGGATAACATCCACCAGGAAAAAAAATAATCCCGCTATGAATTTACTCCCAGGCATTAGACTTTAAGAAGAGGATATACTGCTTGCAGACTTTGGACACCAAAAATCACTCTCAACTGTTTTATTCCTTTCCTAAGGAAAGTTCTCAGGATTTTACTTAGGCAAGTTGAAATGTGAAACGAGTCTGTTCATAAGAACAGAATCCTTCCCAGCTGTCTCCAAAATTTCAGAGAGTCCTGAATTAAAAACCAAACAAAAAAAACCCCAAACCAAAACCACCCTCGCAAACAAATAAAAAAAATCAGAAAATAACTTCAACACCAGGCATACATTACTCGGTTTCATTAAATTAAACCTTTCAGGAAGATTTTTTCCCCCTCTGAGCGGAAACTCCAGCTTGCTGGTTGCCCAGATGCCTCAGCTTTATTACGGGTTTTGCTCTCCCCTGAGCACCTGAGGCCACATGGGCCAATGTGTCCCAGGGCAGAGCTGAATACACATCTGTCAGCATCAGAGCTTGATGTGACAGACACCAAGGCTGTGGGGGCTGCAGGTTATGTCCCCTCGAGCCCAGCACAGGCAGGAGAAGGGCAGTGAGGAGATCCATGCACCCCGCTCCTTTCAGCAATCCCTAAAAATACCAGGGTGTGTGCAGGAAAGGGGCAGATGATATGTGAAGCACCCACCCTGCTTGTCACACAGAGTGCTTCTGCATGGGTAAATTAGATGGTGAACACTGGGACACCGTCTTCCAGATTTGTGAGTCTGATCCTGGTGTGGGCTGTGATAATTATCGCTACCTCATCAGTGCTTATGGGGAGTTTGAGGATGCAGAGCAGTTCCCAACAGGCAGCACAGATGAAGACACGTTCTTCGGAGGGCAAGGAGAGCATTGTGAGGATAGATACGTCAGGGGCTCTGAAAATGTTCCCTGGCTGGTTTTCTTCCCTGGCACAGAAAAATCTAAGGGATCGTCTTGCAGCAGCTGGAGGTAGATCAGCCACGGGCAACCTGTACTGCAGGCAGCAGCGCTCATTTGCAGTTTTCAGGGGAAAGTGGGCACAGCGGGAAATGTGGAGCTTTACAACTGTGCACAAAGATGGATGCAATTGCAGAAGCATTAGCATAAAATGAATGCATTTGAACCTACAAAGTGAGTCACTTCCAGCAGTAAAAGTGTGTCAAAAATTTATGTGCAAAACTGAGGAACAATTAGAAGAGAAACCTGCTTTTGAAATTGTAGCCTGGGCCCTACTTCTAAAGAGCCTTTCATCTCTCCTCTGTCTCTGAATTCAGAAAGGATTCTCTCCACATTTGAGATCATCTGTCTCCCTGTTTAATAGCAGTCTAATTATGATTATTTATTAATATTTTATAAGGATGATCAGGCCTTTCCCTTATCCTGTGTGTGAAGAAAAGAGACAGTGGTTTTCATTGAGCGAGATCAACAGCCCCATCGCAAGACGTCAAAATGTTAAGGAATGGTCAAGGAGGAGCTCTACAGCAGTATTTTTTCCAAAATGAATTCCATAAAGGTTTCTTAAAGAAACACATTCACTACCAATGGCAAGGGTAGTGATTCATAAGACATAAAGCCTTAAAAAGGCAAGATCACACATGATAACTTTTCCATGTGTTGGGTAGCTCCCATTTTTCACCGTGTCAGTTTTCTAACGCGGATTCCGATAATGAAGAAAGTATTTCCTTAGGGGAGAAAACTTATCAGGATGCTGAGCTTTTTTTCCCAGTGACCAATTGCATGTCATGAAAATCAAGGTCCGATGCTGGCCGAGGACAGGAGCAGCTGCACAAGTTCGAAAACCTCGCTGCTCAGCAAGGTCCCAGACAATTTTTACTTACCTCTAGTGTAGTCAATACAATCTTCTCAACTGAAGAAAAATAAGCCTCCCACAAGAACTGTGTCTGCTGTCTAAGTGCTAGGATTTTATCCTGATGGATAGACCTGATTGTAGAAGGAATCTGTAATACAAGATATAATAGAGTCAGAAAACAATGCAATCTCATCAAATTAATATGCTACTGACAAGCCCTCTCCTCCATTAGCAAGCCGCACAGCTTCAGCGCTCCTGTCCGACAGAGATGCATGTGTCAACAGTTAAAGTCTTGATGTAAAATGAATGAGAAACAACCCTTCGTGACCTTTGGTACTGAATATATGATTATCTTTTTTCTTCTGCTTTCTTTTAGCTTTTGGTTCTTCTATGGCAACAAAAGCCCCTTCTCTCCAGCGCTATGGCGCAGCACAGAAAGGAGCTCCTCCACACACCCCTCACGCACTTTTCATGAGCTGCTAGTTTAGCAAACTAGTACCTCAAGTTCTTGAGAGTCCAACAATAACTCCCACTCTCAAAGTATATTAAAGGGATGTGGAATTGCATTTACTGCAGCATGGCAACACTAATGAAAGTCTTGAGAAAGACTCCACTTTTTGGGAGCCCATGGATCAAACTGCATTTTACTAATTACTGTGGGTGGAAAGAATAATGCCTCCCCCAACACCTGTTATTCACAAGGGAAAACAGTGCTTCTTTTTTCCCCTTTCCATTAAATCAACACATTAATTCCAGTATTAGTTGCCTTACAAACAAACCCCCAATTGTTCTGCTGCAACGTTTTGCCATTAAAAAATGCTCACTGGATCAGGAGGGGAGGGCTTCACTTCTACATCTTTCCCCATCCCCTCGTTACTCTTCCACTCTGGAGAGAGACTAATATACGTCTACGTCATTCTTTACCTCAGGACATTGACCAAGGCCTCCAGTACATCCCTCTGACAGTGCAAAGAGACATTATCATGGGAACTTAACTGCAATTTGCTTCAATTACAAGGGCTACTCACAGTACCAGAAAGGCATCTAAGGTATGTTGCTTATTTGTGTTATTTTTTTCCAGCAATGAAGAGCTGTGCTTTTGCGCCTACTTTTTTGTGATTTCAAATTAGACCACCTTGTTCTCAGACACTCGTTTCTTGTAATTCTTTTACTCAAGTTGTCAGTTGCAAGAGCATATACCCGTGTGCTGCTTTTTGAACACCACAGCTTATTTTGAAGTTTACTTGCACCCCACCACATCCCACCCTTTCCTGATCAGAACGCATTTTGCTCATTCCTAAGATATTCTGAGAGGTGGCAGTGATCATTATTTGCTTTCACAATCTCCTGAATCAAATGATTTCATGTGAAACGTGAAATATGTATATATGTAAAAAATGTCCACAAGAATCAGTACATTCCTTATTGACATTTTTTCCAAATGGCTCCAGAGGGTGCAGTGTCAGATGGGACAATCTCTGTTCTCTAAGCCCTTCATCTCTTAGACCTTCATCTTAGAGACACTCCTAACTATAGTACAGAACTTGAGCTTATGAGAGAGTTAACCACCACAGCAAAGCAGAACAGAAGCAAATGGTCAAACTGTCAAAGATGGTCCTTTACATTCCTCTGCTACAGGCCCCTTAGGTAAAATATAGGTCTTTAGGCAGAATATTCCCTGCAAAACTAGTACGAAATATAGAGGCTAAAAGCATGTATTAGTACATGTTTTTTCTAACTGATCACATCACTATTCATGACATAATACTGCAAATAACTGCATCAAATTTCATCTTTTGAGGTGAATACTCTTTCTTTGCATTACTTTTCCAATAAGTTCCAATAAGTAGAGGGATGAAGAACATTATCGATGCTGGCTGTACACACGTGTATTAATCACACCCAGGACCATTATCAGCAGCAAACATAAGTTACTTCACAGTGGTGACACAGTGTTTTTTCTATAAACTTAAACATTTCACTGCATTATGTGCAATCCTGTATGTGCGTGCGTATGTGTGTGCGCAACAAACAAAATCAATACTCATTCCCAGTTGTGCCTTTTGAAAGGGGAGGTTGCTCTGACTGTGGAGGTTACTGTGAGAAGTTAGGATTTCACAGACCACACCGGGCCTGCGAGCGCCTGCCAACACAGTGCCAAGGTTAAAAAAAGAGCCTGGGTGTTTGCTTTGTTACAACAGCTGGAAAGAAAAATCAGAGCTCTCATTTTAACTGCATTTGCCTACTAGTTATTAATCTACTTGTCCAGAAAGACGGGTGGGGAAAATGATATATTAATACTAATCTGGCAGGATTACACTGGAATTATTAGAACGGGATGACGTCTTAATAAAAGGTCATTTCAGTAATAAGTAGGGGGAAGGGAAAAACCACCCTGCACAAATAAATGCAGAAAGGCTGGATTAAGCTCTCCCAGCGCTATGATGCGGAGAATATGCAAATAAAAACATCCGAGCTGCTCTCAAACAGGAAATGAAAAACTGTAACACAACAAAAACATTTCCCAGAGCAGACATTCAGGCCCTCTGCCAGCTCTTTAAAAACACTGTTAATAATGGTGCAGTAGCTGTTCAATATGGAAGCAGCTGTGAAGAGAACGAATGGCATGTTACCGGAAAGCATGAAGATCAGCAAATTATTATTATTTAAAGAGAGAAATAATTCTGCTCAGAACAATGTGCAGTCCACAGAAGCAAAAATCAAATGGCTCTTTTATATCTGCAGCTTGTATTGCATTAAGGAGAACAGGTAGTGCTTTGCAAGACTCGCTCGGCCAGTTCTTCACCAATATTTACTTCTTCAGACAAGTAAATAGGCATCTAATGAGATTTTCAGAGGTACTTTATTTTTGGGGTGCAAAGACACCTGTGGCTTTGAAGGCTTCCCTCTGTGGATGACAATAGCTTGGCACTTTGGAAATGAGTTAAATTCAACCATAGAAAAGCCCTTCTTAGTCGCTACTTTTGTGGCTATTCCACATCTCATGGATCTCAGCTTCATGCTGTGAAATGACGTTTATCTAATGCTACTTTGGTGAAACCAATTTTTCAAGAACTTTTCCTAACATCAATTTCCCCACATACTTTACAGAATGTATTTAGACTATAAAACCCGTTAGAGAAACAGAAAAAAAACAACCCCAAAACTAGAGAATTTGAAACCAAAGCAGATGCTGAAGGTAGCAGGGAATTTCTAACTTCTCAGCCTACTTTTGTTCCATGATCTCAAGGAGATTAACAATAACTGATGTGAACACTGCCTCAGAAAGCAATGTTGCACGGTCCAGACATCAGAAATGGGACAGATTCTGCTTCCCACAAAATTGTTAGGTGGCAACTCCTGCCTAAGGAAACCTCAGCCAGACACAGATTGCTGCTGGCACCCCCAAGAATAAACTATTTCTGAAGGACTAGAGCAGAACCTGCCTTCAAATGTTTTCTCTCTCCTGGCCCAGGACAGCTCTGCCTCGGAGAGGCATCCAGGTGCTCCATACCAGAGGAGATTTCATGCTCTTAGGAAGAATAAAAGAGTCTCCGGAGTTTAAGAACGTGGCCTGGTGGCTGCAATGACCTTCAGGTCAAAAATTGAATGATGTCATATTAAGTGAGTTCATAGCCGGTGTGACACAGACAATCCCTCCATGATAAAATTTCTTTTACAGCCTTGACCTTTTGGATTCATCTTTCCCATCCATTTAGACGGCAGCAGCAATAATCAACTGATCCGCTGAAGGCCGCAGTCTTTTTCTTACCTGTAATAACAATCTCTCATCGCCTATGACGGCAGCTTGGTTCCAATCAATCACTTCCGAGAACGGCAACTCCCATCCGTTGCTGAGCATAACCGGGACGCAGGCAGCCTGCACGCACACAGAGGCATCGCAGTCATTAGCGGGTACCCCATGATTAGGGCAAGCTTTGAGGCCAGCACCAACACCGGGACCGTTGCTTTCTGCACGAGGTCAGGAGGAGAGGCAGCACGGCAAAGCACACCAAAAGCTAGAGGTCACGGGAGGGCAGCCCAAATGTTTCTGTTTTTTTTATTTTGCGCTTAAATGCATTCATGGAAAGGTGGGGTTTGCATGGAGAGTGGCACTGGAAATCAGGGGCTTACACTGCCAGACAAAGGCAGAACTGTTAAAATGCGGCAGATGTAATGCTGGAGAATTTAATATAGGATGATGACCTCCCTCACTGCTTTGTGAACCATTCAGCAGGGAGCTAACTCCCTCAATTTTTATAATATGTTGCAAGACAATCCTAAAGAAAATATAGATCACATTTAATTCCACAGCACTTTCTCCACAAAGGAGTGAATTCTCTATCCTGTTCGATATCAACTCTCCAAACAGAGGCAACTGCACAAAGACCATTCATCTGTCATCACCTGTCTACAAAAATAAGAATTGCTTTCTGTCTTAAAACAAACAAAAAGTATGAACACTTAGTATCTATTTCATACTGGTATGATCTGTCTGAATTATTTAATCTTTTGCAAGTTGTGCAAGTTCCTCTGCACAGACAGCAAGGTTGCGAATATTCAGTATACAGGGTGTCATGTCTGTAAATAAACGATCACCACTACATTTCGGTCAGCTAGATATCACAACTTAAGATCCAAATCAAAAACCTGATGCGATAAAAGAATCTCTTACCAGAGGATCTGCATCAAGGTTCTGCATCTAGATATGCATCTGGTTCTGTTTCTTTTGGATCAAGCTAAGCTTAGGGGGCCAGTTAGCTCAGTGGTTTGAGCGCCGTGCTGGCAACAAGGACCAACACTGAGGTCGCGGGTTCGATTGCTGCTCGGTCCCCCTGTGTTGCCTGGGCTATCCGAGCGGTGGTGGCGCTGCCCGCAACAGGGAGGTTGGACTAGATGATCTCTAAGGTCCCTTCCAGCCTAGGCCATTCTATGTTGTAATTCGGTCCAGACTATAGCTCAGACTTCCCCATACCTCTCAAAAGGTGGTATAAAGGGGAACCTTTCAGACTGTTCCACCTTCCTCGGTAACATGTATTACACACAGAATCCTGGACTGGTCAAATTTCTACACTATCATAGCGCTTACAACATATAAAGATCTGTGATTTTCTGCAAGGAAAGGACATTAGTGCATGAAAAAAAAAACCCGACCAGAAACCCGTTAGCAATGTGTTTTCATGTTTAAAACATTTCAGTAACGTGGATTGCATCTTTCAACATGCCTTGGAGCCGGACAGAAACTGGGAATTCATCATAATGGGTGAATGCTTCTGAGTAGGAGCAAAGAGGCAAGTGACAGTCCAGAACTTGGATCTCAAATATGACAGTAGGTGTGGGGTTCAGTGGCTAAACCTAAGCACTCAGTGCATTTGAGATGCTCTCGGGTATCCAAGAAACCCATCACAGGTTGGCAGACATGACACAGGATCTACTGGAGACCTTCTGGAGAAGTAGCAGAAAGCTAGAAGGGTACTCCATGACTTCTAAAATGGCATTATACACCTACACTTAGGTATCTGAATCCTGCTCTGCATTGTGGTAAACAATGCTCTTTAATTCGGCTGCGACATTTTGTGGTGGTTGCAGAAAAGTTATGTGGTGCTATTCATTAACAGCTTTACTGCCAATGCTGGGACACTTCCCAAATGACAAAAGGGCACCTGGAGGCAGGACCCTGGAAGGCATCCTCATTTGCCATCTCACCACTACCAAGAAGCGCCTCAGCCTCTCCCTCCCTCTGCAGCCTCCATGGAAATCCAGATGCCAGTTCTAGAGGGAAGCTGAGCATCTCCCAGGATGCTCTGTACGGCTGACTGAAGACCCAGGACCCCAGGGCTAAGCTGATGTTTGCCAAAAAAAAAAAAGTCACATCAGCTGCAGCAGAGTAGGTCAGTGCCAGGCCTGATCACTGCGCTGCCAAGCCCCGCTGTCGCGGTGACTCAGGAGCCCTTCTGCATTGCCCTCTGCTGCTGGGCAACGCAAAAAGGCAGACCATTAGCCAAAACGTTTGTAAGAGGCGACAGGGATTCAGGTGCTGTCTCAGACTGTGAGCTGAGATCAGCCTATATCCACCCTATGTGAAGGTGGAGCTTTACAACCTCCAGGCCACCTTCTGCAAAAAAACTGTCAAGACAGGCACTGCATAAGCAGGTCTGTTTTGTCTAAGTGAAAACCAAAAGCTATTTTTACCGCCCCAAGGCTTACTTGTAGAGGCCAGTGTCTCCCACGGGAAGTCTCACAGCCTGATAAAATACTGCTCTAAACTGGTCCAACCTCTCAGCCTCACCGAATCCAGGGAAACCCTCTTCCTGGAGGCAACGCAATTCAACCTTCAGATGAGCTCAGTGCTCAGCCCCTCCTGGGAAGAAGCTGCCAATTGCTCCAGAAGTATGAATAGAAGCTTTTGCAAAGTGGATTACTGTCCACGGGGGAAATGAAACACATTCTCCTCCCCCCCACCTCCTTGCTGTTGCACACTGAATTGCAGCCAGTGTAGCAGATGCTTTAAACTGCAGCTCTTACCTGCAAGGCTTCCAGAAACCTGAAAGAGCCAAGCCTGCGGCCACGGGGAACCAGACAGAAAGTGGCATTGTGCAGCATTTCACGGTAATCATACCTAACAAGAACAGGGGAGAAAAGAGAAAATTCAATTAGCAGTGAGTCCTAGAGTAACTGGGCGTGAAAATGCAAACAGCTGTTGAGACACATCTGGATAAAATAATCCCCGACCAAGACCGCTCACTGCCAGGTTAACTATCTCCCTCTGTGCACGTGTGGCAGCCATCTCCCCAGCTCCTTTTTGTTCATCTTCAGGAGCAACCACCACAGGAGAGAGCTGGGGAGAGTGGTAATGAAACTGAGAAGGGCGGAAATAATTTTGCTTTCCCAGTAATCAGCCGTTTCTACATAAAGTGTGGGTGAGTTCTCACAACAAACTTATACGAAATATTTTGATACCCAAAGCACTGTTGCGGCACTTCTGCAACCCTGATTTCTATTCAGATTTAGTCAAAGTCATGCAAAACCGTGTTCATTTGTGTGCAAGAGGTTTGTACAAAGCAAAAAATATTCAAACTATGCCAAAGAAATCTTCCCTTATCAAGCAGGCACTAAAAAGGGGATGAGGGAGGTTTACAATGACTCACTTGGTGGTTATTGTCGAGTGTAGTGAGAGGGATAAACTGCCAAATTTTGGCAATTAACAACATAGCTGCAATGACCCCTGCTCCTCCAAATTAAAACTTATAGTGCTTATAGACACTCCTGTTTTGTTTTTTTTTCTGATTCCATCAATCACCTCAAAAGCATTCACCAAAACCACACATCAAATCCTAACAGTTTCCAGCCTGTTATTAGCTAATTGTAGTTCTGGCAAACCCATGAAACTGCGAATGGCATCGACCTTGTCTGAGACAAAAGGATTCAAATTAAACGCTCTTTGTTCTCCAGAATGTCCTGGACTCAGCAGACAGATATTATTTTGACAGTAACTTGTAGCACTGAAATTTTCGAACACTAATAATCTAATTTAACCACAGCCCGCAGGCAGAGCAATTTTTTTTTGTATGTATGTAGATGTGCATGTATATCCATATGTATATGATTATATTTCATATATAAAAAAGTCCGGATCTACGTTTGTATTCTCACACAGGCCAGACAGATGGGAGTAAGCCAATTTTCAATTATAAGCTCCGTCTTTAGGAAGAGACATCTTGCAAGGGCCCATTTGCTTAAACAAGCGTGTATAGCTAATTTGCACAAGAAAAGGTCACTGTGAATGGATTAAGATTATCTGCGCTGAGAGTAAAATAAAAACCCTTGCTGCATTAATTAAAACTACAAAACAGACTTCAAAGTATTTCTTTTTTTTATCGTATCTCAACTTTGGTTAAAATATATATGTACATATTCCATCTCAGTGGCAGCAATTTCTTTTTCTCAGTGTGAGAGATTGATTAGCAGCCATGTCCCAGCTCATCAGCCAGCAGTGACACAGCACATGGGGGAAAATATTACGAAATTGGAATACCAAAATAATAGAAAAAGTTGTCTTTTTAAACCTTTCTTTTTTTACATACCAAGAGGTCTGCGGCTGATCGCTCTCGCTGTATATTGTATGACAGAAAATGCTAATAAAAACCAAAAATAGAATACCCCGTAGGGCTAGAATATGCCAGTCAGAAGGCCCCCATCATTAGCTAGCTAAAAATATAAAATCTTGTTAATACTCTGGAATGCAACAATATCCACAAAACATCGATGGCAGAATCAGAACACAAAGAAAAGTAGAGAACGACGTCAGCGCAAGTGAATCCTCCATATTCCAGTGGCATCTTATATTGGGCACCTTTTCTTTCATATCTAATTTGCTGACATCAGGATATATTTACAAAGAAAAAAAAAGAGAGAAAAAGATTTTGTTGATAATTTCCCACCTGGAAACCGGTTAGCGTCTTGCTCCCATTTGTGCATTTTAAAGCCTAACGTGTGATTTATTGGTGAGTTCTGGAACGGCACGTTTCCTGGTCATCAAGCAATTTATCTACATCACACGTACATGAGAGCCTCACCCTAACCTTGATGTACGGGCACAAACTTTCCACTCAATTCAGGGAGAACCCGCAAATACAACAGGAGCAGACCCAGAGTAAAGCAATATCCATCGAGAGCTGCTGCAGTGAACGAATTGCACCAGAGATTCTTCTCATGAACAAATTTCTCTGCAATTTCAACCCAAATGTTTTAAGGTGGCTCAGCACGATATTTGAGTGCTGTGCCAAGGGACTGATTTCCAGTTTAACTCTCCCCTCAGTGACCACTCCAGGATCAGGCATCTATTAGAAATACTTAAACACAAGGTGCTAATTTTACTCCTGCTAGTTTGTGGGTAGCACAGAAAGCAACAGGGGCACACCCCCTTAGCTGAAAGATGGAAGAGAGCCTAATGTGTTTAAAAATAAATTCAGAAATGCCTTTCGCACCACACATGCAGCCAGCCACAAATACACAAACATCGTTGTCAAGCTGCAAGCATCGCTTGTAATTTGAAGCATTGCTTGCAGAGGAAATCAGTCACATGTACCAAATAGTACTTCGGAGTTGAGTTAGCAGCAAAGATCATTTCATGTGTGTTTCTCAGACTGCCAGGCAGCGTTCAGAGGAGATCCTGGCCACAAAAATGGATGAAGCTCCAGCCTACAGACCATGGAGGGGGCAGAAGGTGTCAGGGCAACCCTTAGTTTCAGACTCCTTCCCAATCAGCATTGCAGGAACCACGCACACAGCAGGAAGTTTGAGCTTTGCTGGCGTTTGTCAGGGAGGGAAAATTGCTTTTGTATGATTTGGCGTTTTTTTCCACATAGCAAGCATACACATCTCACCTGAAAGCATCTCTGCAGTTCCCTTAACTCGGATTTGAAATGTTTTCAGTGAAGCCAGTGAGATCATCTCTATGATTAAAGGCACGTATCTCAGTTAAATCTTTGCTGGACTTGAAATTGCAGGAGAGAAATAGGAGCCGGCACAGACATCCAGGAACACCCTCTCAGCTACAGCAGGACACTTGTACAGCAAGAACCAATCTGGCATCTACTGCAAATACCGGTACCGCAACAATGACGGGCTTGATTTCCCCACCATCTTCAGTGACTAATCTCAACAAGACCTCAGGGAGGCAATGAAGCATTATAACCCCACTTGGAACTGGCGGAGGGGCCTTAATTAGAGAGAAAATAGTCAAGTGTTTAGAAAAGGTTCTTTCTGAGCCTCCTCTTCTTCTCCTCCCTTGGCAAATAGGGGTTATACCTGTTTTCAGAACTACTTATTTCCATTAGCCATCTGAAGAGGGTAGGGAGATTTGTTACGGTCCTCCAGCTCGCTTTGCTGTGGTTTCTGCAAACCTCACACTGCCAGCTTGTGGGGACAGCGCTGCAACACCTGCCTATCCAGACACTCTGGTTTTACCCAGCTGTGGAGGTTTTTCAGGTTTTACTTGCAGCCAAGGAACTGGAGCGAAGACCAGCACTGCACAGCAACTGCACAGGCAGCCGGCCGGGCACTTCTTCCTTACTTGGGCTGCTCCAGGGTCCCACTCCTGGTGCTTTCCTCTTCTTTACTGCTGGCAATTAATCTTCCCAAGCATTTACTGCAGGAGAGCTCTGAGAGAAGTCCTCTGCTTTGCTCAGAGGGTATTTATTTCCAGAAAGCTCCTGGTTTCCATGTTAGAAGGCTGCTGGGGAGAGGAGGCACATGCTTATCGCTCATATTCCTGTATTCCTTCATTCTGCACGCTTGCACGGAGGTAACATTTTACTGCCAATTTTAGGGTCGGTTTGGCCTGGGCCTCAGCTGCATCATTTGAACATGTTAAAATCCAAATGCATATGCATTTAAAATGACAGTTGGGGCTTTAAAACTAAAATGGCTACAGATTTAACCCAAAGCTGGCGTCCCTCCGTAAGGATCAGCAGGATGTTTTATTAACTTCCAGGCTTCCTTCCACCATGATTAAATGCACCTAGTTCACAGTTAATACCTTTTTAGGCAGCATATAAAAAATAGCTCTATTTGCAATCAATTCTAATTTATTCACACTTTAATTGAAATATCCCCTCCCTGCTACCACCCATAGCTGAGAAAACATGTTCGGCCCCATCTATCACGCAGGTGTAAACACTGCAGCGCTGTATGGGCAATTATCTCAAACAGAAACACTGCTCAGCCAAATGCTCTTACCGTTTTAACTTCTTGATCCAGCACACTGCTTCTGTCTTTCCCCATCCCTACCTTTTTTTTCTCTTTTTTACTTCTTATGTGCCGACCTTGTCAATCAGCATGTGGATTAGAGAGCTGCTTGGGATTCCTGGTTCACCATTATCCCAAGGAGTCTGGGCAGGCTGCAGAGGCGCTGCAGTGACTAATCAGCCATGCCATACATTCCTTCTTACAGCTTAAGCATTTCCCCATGTCACTACACTTAAAAGATTATAAACTAGCCTGGGAAACATTTTCACTACCAATTTTAATATAAACTTATTTTTTCCCAAAGCCTCATCATCATCATAACTGATTGACGAGAGGTCTAAAAATATTCTGGCTATTTAGACCAGCAGATACGTCTAGCGACCCAGAGGTAATGATTATTATACTTTATCCAGCTGTGTTACCTGTCATGTAGGAATCACAAAGTACCACACATTTTTTCCTTATCTAATCCTCTGACCACTGATACCGTCACCATTCCCATTTCACAGATGAAATGACTGAGATATAGATGACTGGTGGCTTCTCCAGCAGCTAGACAGACCTTGGGAATGTAAACCCTCGCATTCTCACCAGCCCCCCTCCACTCTGCTGATACAGCACTCACTAAAACCAGCCACATGTTATGGTTATCAAAATGCAGATGGAAACACACGAGCTGAACCCAGCTCAAATACAATGGGTTTAACTCAGCCCGAATACAATGGGTTCAGCCCAGCAGCGTGTATTTTAACAGCGCCACGCATAATCTATCTTTCGAGAAATGCCGGAGCTAATCTTTGGCAGGGAGCATCAGTACGTACCACTGTAGATGTCGGATGGGACTAGAGGTGTTTTTTGTCTTTCCCAAGC